TTTTTTTTTTTTTTTTTTTTTTTATAGTTCATTCGTTATCCTTTTTCATTATTAGAAATTTTCTCAAGAAAATCTTTTTGTAACACATAATAAATTAAATAATGTTTGCCCCTTAAACAAGGGTCTGATCACGTGTTTTCCGTTTTAAAAAAATTGGGGGTTTTTTTTTAAAAAAAAGAAAAAGAAAAAAGAAAAAAAAAAAAAGAAAATAATAAAATAAAAAAAAATAAAAAAAGTAAAAATTAATTAAATAATTTAGGAATAAATTTTAATTTGTTTGTTATTTTTTATTTATTTATTTATTTATTTATAATTATATTATTATTATTATTATTTTTAAAAAAGATAATTATATGTCGAATAAAAAAATTTCTTATAATAGGCCTTACCTTTTAAAGGTTAAAATAAATTTATTAAAAAAAGATTTTTCTTTTTGGAGGGATCTTTTTATTCTTTCTATGATATAATAATTGAATCATTAATACGAATTTATTTCATTAAGGAAAATAAAAAAAAAGGAAAATTTATAAAAGTTTTTGGAAGTTTTTGGAAATTTAAGTAAAAGGTTTTACAAATTATTTATTTCATTCAATTAAAAATCATTTTAATTTGCTGAACAAAGATTTTATAAAAGATAATTGAATATATTTTAAAGATAATTGAATATATTTCAAAGATAATTGGTTATATATATATATATATAATAATGATAATAAAAATTAATGTATTTAATGTATTTTAATAATTTACACAATTTTATATCCTCGCATTTTATTCGCATTGAAAAAATTTGGAATATTTCCTTCTGTTATTAGACTATTAATTGAAGTGCAATATTCAACTATTGAAATGATTGAAACGATTGCAAACGATTGACGATTGTAACTTACAATGTAGTATTACGGTATTTCATTCATTGTATATCTTTTATATAAAAAAAATTTACGTTGCAGCTAGTACATCATGTATCTGTTTAAAATCGTACGATTACATTTATTACGTTCATTACATTTGAATTTCTTGAGATCACGTGATTCTAGTCATGTAATTCTTTCAATTCATTCATTCCTACTTTAATTCATGTTTCAGAGATTAATGTTAGAGTTTGGGAGATGTTTTTTTAAAGATAATCTAAATAATCTAAAAGGAATTTGAAATTTGAAAGAAACTTGTTATAAATATTGTATTGTTTAATTATTTTATAGGAATTATCAAAATATAATACGCTTATAATACATATTACAAAATATTTCGTAACATAAAACAACAAGATCCTTACATTATACAGTAATCATTTCATCAATTAATCCCTTTATTGCTTTTTATCGGCATAATCTTTTAAAAATATAAAAAAAATGAAATTGAATGAAATAATGATTATTAAAAAAATCGATTTTTTTTCTAAATCTTTATTTTATTCAAACATTAAGAGAATTATTAAAAAAACAATTTTAAAAATTCTTTATTGATACATTTCTTTTCATGAAACTTTTTTCTTTTTTTTTTTAATTCTTTTTAATTTGAAAGAATTTTTCAAATATGATTCATCAATCATTTGTTAATTTCGCGTGTTTTATAATTTGTTCAACTTATATTAAAGAATTAAAAGTAAAACATTGACAGATTTAATTTTTTAAATAAACAAAAAAGGAATCTTTTAATCGAAGAAAAAAATCGAAAAAGACAAATTAATTTTTTAACGGATTTTTTTTTTTTATAATAAACACAATGTACTATACCTAATATAGTATGATGCATCACACGCTCATTACAACAAACTACACCCGCATAAAAAATTTAATAACAAATAATAGTGCACTTATTTAAATGCATTCACAATGTGCATCAATTTGGATTTAAAATAAAATACAAAACATAAATAGTTAGAATTATAACTGAAACAGAATTCATCAACAAACCGCATTTAGAGGTACAAAGCAACTCGTTTTCATCTTTTTATGGAGATTGTTGTTTGTTTATTTTATTTATTATCAATAATATAGGTGAAGCACTTGTTACACCAATACTTACATATGAATCTCCAATTCGGGTTGTTTGTCATGTGATTATTACATGAAATATTTGAATTAATTGGATAGATTAAATTTTTTTTTTTTTTTTTTTTAAAGGAAAAAAAAAATTTTTTTTTGGGAAAATATGTTGTCCGATGGTTACAGAATTTGCTTTCCTAATAATGCAATTTATTTAAATATGGGAAATGGTTTGATTATCTTAGATTTTGAGAAAAAAGAGAGAGAATAGAGAGAGAAATTTCATGAAAAAAAAATGGTTTAAAAAAGTTTTTTTTGAAATTATTCTTTTTTAAGTATATGTTTTTTAATTATAAAATAAAAATTTTGAAAAAATTATTTTATTTCCATGATAAGGTTTTCATTTTGATCATTTTTTTTTAAAAGAAAGTTGATAAATTATTGGTTAAGAAAATTTTTTTTAATACTAACCAAAATATTAGAAATGTTTAATAATAATGAGTTTTTTTTTTTTTTTTTTTTTTTTTTTTT